ACTGAAAAAAATTACTTAAAATTTTTGCCTTTTATAATTCAGTAACTCCCCCCCCCATACCTTAAATTACAGGATTTTCACAAAGGGTGGCGCTGGAAAATTTTCCGCTCCTTAGGGGGGCGGCAGCTTCAAAAAGGTTGAGAATCACTGCTTTAGTTTTATCATATCCCTTTCAGCGTAATCTTAAGTCCATAGTTGTACACAACATTCCATAATTCAGGTCTGTATACTTTATCTTATACTTTCTCTAATCTACAAATGTACAGTGAACTTACTGTCATACATTCATACATTTCTCAGTGACCTGCTGAAGAGCAAAAATGGGATACCTTGTTAAGGATTTTTTTTTCCTTCTGCACTAACATTTATAGCATTCAATTTGGTTCCACCCTTTGAGATATCACTGTCATTCCCAGATAAATGCCTAAAATATTTCTTCCAACATTCCGTCACATCAGCTTCATTCCAAATCTTTTCATAATTTTTATTTTTAATTTGTTTTGCTATGTTGGAGTCTACTTGTTTAGCCCTCTTCACCTACTTCCAAAAGTTTTTTTTTTTATTTCCATCAAAATCATTCTACATTTTATCTGCCTCTTTTAGTCTTAACTGTTCCTTGATCTTTGTCTACATTCTTTGCAACTCTTTTATACAATATCTTTCTCTCATACTCATTTGCAGCAAACTTTTCTTATATCCATTTTTCTCATCTATTGCCCCTTTCACTTTATTATTCCACCAAGCATCCTTTTTCATATGTCTCACTAGCATAACTTTGTGGGCTTTACAACACACTTATTTTCATTCTATTCCAAGCAACCTCCACATGCTCTTTCATTATGTTCACTTTCCATTCATATGGCCATAGGGCGATACATAGTGCATCTCTGCTGGAAATTATATGCAGAAAAGCATCGAAGAATGATCCTTAAGAGACTTAAACCATTTCTCTCTTTAAAAATCAATCCCAGATCTTTGAATGGAACAGTAGTCACTCAAAATGAGCTAAGCCATAGATTCAGTAGTTTTCTAAACAACTTCAAAAAGGTCCATGTAAGCCAATAGTAACTTAAATCCCTTAAAGCTGGTGTTTTTGGGTAGGAATTTTTTGCAGTGGTTTTGAAGCAATGTTACTAATTTTTTCCAAACCCCCATTTGTCACATTTTGTCACAGTCTAATACAAGCTGGGAGACAAGCTACCTGTTTTTTAAAAAGTTTAGTTTAATATGTTTAGCATGTAGTGTGAAACCGGTTTTTCTTTTCTTTTTTATTAGTTCATTTAATGGTGGACCCATTCTGAGACTTACAATGCATTTGAAGAAAATTTAATCCTTCTCCCCCAAGGCCTGTTTTAGAAAATTCATCTACTGAATATATACGCCTTTAACATTTCATTAGTGCCAATTAAGTTTTATTTAAAAAAAAAATGAAGAAATAACAACAATACACACAAAAGAAGGTGTATATGTTTCCCAAACAAGAGAAAAAGGATTTAATTCCCTTACTCCCATGGTAATTTCAGTTTCAGGTTGGCATTCATGCACTGTTTTGTTTTTTAATGAAGAGTAACTATGTATCTAACATATTGAGTAGTTCATCCCTCTCCCAAAGCAAGAGTGAGGAAAAGCATGCTTGACTTTTATTGTCACACTGTTACGTGTATGTGGAAGCGGGATCAGTTCAATGTCCTTGATGATGGATGCCCTCCCTTTTCAGTAGCTGGGTACAGTGAGCAGTGTTTTGAACGCAGTTCAAGAGTTCACTGATTCCCGTGAAAAGGACAGTGCTAGCATGTTCCATTCCTCTTCCAATTCCATCTCCAAAGCCATAGCAAAAGAATCAGAAGAAGCAAGAATTCCTCCCTGCCTATCTCTGGAATGATGTAATAGAGGCGGGCCAAGCTGAAACAGCAGGATGAGTTCAGCTGATAGCTATAGCAGTTGCCTTCTTATAGACAAATAAAAGTTCAAGGACCTTTTGTTGGTAGATTATAATTAAGAACCAGTTTCACTTTGTGGATAGAGAATGTGACCTGGGAGATTTGGATTCATTCTAATCTAATTAGCACAACAGTATCCTAGTCTCAGTGGGCTGTGTGTGTGTGAATGCAGAGCTGTACAAACTGAAGCTCTTTGTCCTCTCTCCCACTCCTGAAAAATCTTGTTTACAGCCTTCAGATACCACTAAAGGTTTGCACCAAATTATAATTTCCATGTGACAGATGGTGAAAATTATTAAATACATGAACTGGAGATTAATCAAATTAGCTACATTTAATTTCAATTACATTTGCATATCAGTATAATGAAATCAATTTTTGTCCTTGCCCTACACATTATTTTTGCAATGCAGCCCTCAGGATAGCACTCAAAGCCCAAAGTGTGGCCCAGGAAACAAGTTGAGCCCTACTAAGAAAAGAGATTTTTCTCTTCCAGTGATTTCAGTCTAAGATTAGAATGTTGAATACATTTATTCAAAAGTAATTGTAATCGAAGTCAGTCATTCACAAATGTGTTTAAACTCTTAGTTTGTTGTTCAAAGACAGAAACAAAGTGAGTTACTGATTGGATGTAAGTATTGTTGTAAAATCCAAATTCTGATTAATAAAAATAGAAAGAAAAAATTAAAGGGATGTGTTAATGAAAGCATTTGAATACTTTATTCAGTGTAGCAATAATTGAGTCAATAATATTATTTTCTACTAAAGCTTTAAAATTGTTGCATGTTGCAGATCTAATGATAGAAATGGAGGATCAGACAAATGACATCAATGAAGCAAGAATCCCAGTGCTGGACTACAAAACCTATACAGACAGAGTCTTCTTTCTGCCCTCTAAAGATGGAGAAAAAGATGTAATGATCACCGGGAAACTGGACATTCCCGAAGCTAGACGGCCAACTGTAGAACAGGCATTGAATCAGTTCTCCAATCTGCTCAACAGTAAATCATTCCTTATTAATGTGAGTAGAAAATAAAGGTCACCTTTTATGTTGCCAAAAAGCATTTTCATTTGATACCTCTATTTATAACAATAATAAAATTAATCTGCATATTTTGTGTCCTGAACATCTTGTAAAGCTGTGTATGTGATGTATAATAGCATCTTACATAATTTTGTTCCTGTACTTGTCATCTGTGAAAGAATGGTATTCACCAGAAATACTATTAGCTGGTACCCATTACATACAATATATAGTTATGCCAACCGTGAAATGCAGTTAGATCCCACCTATTACATACCTATGCAGGGGTATCCATGAGAGGTCAACAGGATCAACATGGTGGAAGCAAGTGGACAATTGAAGCCTCACCACCCCTTTTAAAGGTGCCCCGCGCACATGTCAAAAGAGGCATCAGGCAAGACTTCAGTTGTGCTGCCGTTTTGATGATGCTGACCCTCCCTGTTGACACCCCTGTTTGACATATGCCAGAGATCAAATTAACCAAAATTGAAGCATAAAATGGAGTCCTGGACATGTACACTAAATTGTTGGAAATGATAAACTGAATGTCAAAGAGGCCCGTTAAACAAATTCCTCAGTTTACCTGGCCAGAACCACAAGAACTATATTCAATACTTGTGGAATGTATTGTGTCCCAGTTTTTATCTCATTATACTATATTTCCAGAATGAAGAATAAAAAGAATAAGCCTCAATTGCTTCAATCATATACCTGTTTTTTTGTTGTTGTTGTTGTTTCTGTTTAGTTCATTCACACGTTGGAAAACCAAAAGGAATTTTCTGCCCGTGCAAAAGTATATTTTGCATCTCTTTTGACCGTGGCTTTGCATGGGAAGCTAGAGTACTATACTGACATCATGAGGACATTGTTTTTGGAGCTTATGGAGCAGTATGTTGTGGCCAAAAATCCTAAACTGATGCTCCGAAGGTAGGGAAGGTTTCTTCAGTAATCTAGTACAATGGAAGTTGCCCCTGAAAATTCTCTCATTTCTTTGGGTTTTTTTCTTTTTCTCTTCACATACATCAGTGAGTATGTAGAGCTACCCAAGACATTGCAAAGGCTTGCTTTTATACATTACAACAAGAGGTCCAATATGTTTTTTGTTGCTTGAGATAAGATAAATAGCCTGCCATCCCACCCACTTCATTCTTCTTATGGAGGAGCCAAGTAATTACCAGTTGTCTTGCTTCAGTTGTGATGATGAGATGCAGCCACCATTTCATTTCAGGGCAGTAAGTTAGCTTAGGAAGCACAGGGCAAGCTCTGTAAAAACAGATTTCTGTCTTCCCAAAGAAGCAGGCCATTGGCTCTGATACCACTGCCCTCCCATCACCTTTTGCTTGACACAATTGCAAAAATCAGGCCATCGGTCATTGATTAGAATTTAAAGAGTAACAACATTTAGTTAGGAAAGTAAGCCCTCTGACTCTTTACAAATGTCATATTGTGGAATCTTGTCTTTTAAAAATTTATTTTAATGAAATGCCATATTGAACAGGTATATATAGTTTATTTACTTTTATATGATTTACCTATTATGTAAGGTCTACCATCTTTCCCACCTGTTTGGTCAAGCAGTTGTGTTCTTCTGTTTCCTGCCAAGTTCAGCATTTCTCTCTCTAGTTTGCTGTGAATTCAGTGTTCCAGAGTATGATGTTCTTTATCTCTCTCTCTCTCTCTCTCTGTAATTCACATGTTTTGTTACATTTTGTGCTTTTGCTCTCCATAGTATAGGACAAAATCAGTAGATTCAGACATGCAGCTCTCCTTAATTTAGAAATTAGGTGAATATTTCTTTATGCCAATAATGAAAGGCAAGCATCTTGGTCAGCACTAAATTAACTGCTGAACTAAGTGTACCACTGGAAAAAAAAACTCGAATCTGTGCTCTGGTATAATTATTTGAGAAGAACACGCATGACAGCATGTTTATCTTACTGACAGTTTTAGCATTTCCCATAGCTCACAACATGGGTTGTTCCTATATTGTATGACAGGAGAAAAGTCAGCACATTCTTCACTGAGATAATGTTTTATTTACTGTATTACTACTATTGATTTTTCCTGCACTGCCTCAGGAGAAGCTCACATATATAAGGTTCTTCTCCCATGTTATCCTCCCAGTGACCTTCAGAGAGAGGTTAAATAAGAGATGGTGACTGGCCCAAAGTGACCCAGAAAGATTTGTGGCTAAATGAGAATTTCAACCTGATCCTTTTAGTTCTAGTCATATAATAACCCTGCTTCACTGCAACAGCAACACAGAGCAATTACCTGTTTTTGAGAGTTATGCAAATCATTTCAAAAACTTACTTTGGAAAGTGCAAGAGCACATATGAAGCACCTCTTTCCTAATCATTAAAGCAGCCATGTCTTTTTCCAAACTCACACAACTGCTATAAAGAGTAAAGAAGAAGATCTTGATGGAGATATGTAGGCACTGTTGTCTAGGCAAAAGGAGCTGAAATATTTCTTAAAGTCCAGAACGGCCAGATAACATTTGGAAGTGACAAAGACTTGTTATGCAGAGTGCAGCTATAACCACAGTTCTTGCCAAAAATACACACCAGCATTAGAGAGATTTAAAGAATGCAATA